CTCCCCCTCCCCCCTCCCTACCTGTGGAAGGTCTCCCAGTGCTGCTCCCCCAGTGTGATGAACATCTGGTCGGTGCTGTAGAGTTTCTCTCCGTCCTTCAGCCACACGATGTCGGGCTCCATCAGTCCCTGAACAGCACAGCCCAGCCTCGCTGCGTTGCCCTGGGACACCGTCTGATTGGACGGGTGCTTTGTAAACATCACACCTGGGGGGGGNCCCCTCCCCCTCCCCCCTCCCTACCTGTGGAAGGTCTCCCAGTGCTGCTCCCCCAGTGTGATGAACATCTGGTCGGTGCTGTAGAGTTTCTCTCCGTCCTTCAGCCACACGATGTCGGGCTCCATCAGTCCCTGAACAGCACAGCCCAGCCTCGCTGCGTTGCCCTGGGACACCGTCTGATTGGACGGGTGCTTTGTAAACATCACACCTGGGGGGGGGGGTCACACGTTAGAGAACCACACTATAAACTGGACTGTCATGGCTCCCAGGTGTTCCACCTTTAGAACCTGAGTCTCTGTCACAGACCTGTGTCTCACCTGCGTTTACCTGCTGACAGGTGTACACCTCACTGATCAGTCTTTTGTAAACAAACTCATTTCTCAAATTTTTCTGTTTTCTGTTTTCCATCCTGTGAACGCAGCATCAGAGACAGATGACATCATCGACCATCAAAACATAAGATGCAATCAGTGGAATGAGTGTCCAACAGTGAACAGTGATGTCATCAGCCGCTGCAGTAACTTCATTACCCATAAATCCTTTGGCCTGTGAGATGAAACGATTAATTGATTATCAGAACAGCTGCTTATCAACTTTCTGTCAATTGACTAATCAATGAATCAGATTAGTTTCACTCTGATCTAGTTACAACAAGGATGATGATGATGATACCTGTTGTTGTCTGACTGTCTGTTTGTTTGTTTATTTGTCTGTCTGGTTGTTGACCGATTTGCACCAAACATATTCAGTTATAATCTTAAAGACAACAATTGTGGATTCAGCATTTTCTTCCAGTTTTCCTACAACCTCTTTGATCTTATCATCATTATTGATTGTTATTATTATTGATCTGATTATTTAGATCCAGATCTAAGCATCATGTCCTGAGACCACAGTGGGAAGGAAACAGAAAACATTCTCTGGCTTCTGACCTGAACCTCAACCACCTCCACTGATGGACTAACCTGGACCTGGGCGGAACCTGATTCTGAAACCAGGTCTCAAAGAGCCGTTCATTGTGTGTGTGTGTGTGTGTGTGTGTGTGTGTGTGTGTAAGTTCTGACTGCAGACAGAGAGGCAGCTGGAGGATTACTCTCTTGAAGATGGTTTCTTCATCACATCAGATCTCAACTGTTGTTCATCTCAGAGAAGTGAGGAGCCACGAGGACAGAGACCCTCCTCCCTCCATCACTCTCCACCTTCCGGTTGACTGGGTTCACCTCTGCCATGACATCACTGATGTCGGCGTCTTTCAGCAGAGAGTCTCTCTGAGCCAGTTTCCATCAGCATCAGTTTGTCACATTGTGAGACGGATCAGGGACAAGAGGACTGAACTCCCTCCAGCTGATGCAACACCGAGTCACCGAGCTCACCTGAAGATCTTGGACCTGACACCTGGATTTAATATTTTTAATTCATTTATACTGTTTTTATTTTTCCCACTCTGTTGCCTTCTTCAGCATTTTTAAACATCCCTACAAAATAAAAGTCATTGTGTTTGATGTACTTCCATCAGCTGTGACCTCTGACCTCCTCACTGCAGGTGGTTAGTGATGTTGCTGATCCAAGAAGTGAACTCACCAGTCTCAGAATCACAGGAATGATTAAAGTTATTAATTAAATTATTGTATTTTCACCAGTTAAGAACCTCTCACCTTTACATCTTCATCTTTTCTATGAACTTGTTCTGTTTTTATTTTCCTGATGGTTCTGTTAGTTCAGGATAACTTCTTGTTTATGATGCGTTCACATGCTGTTAAAGGTCGCAGTGATGTGTGTCCTAAACACAGATGTCATAAACAGTTTCAGTATAGAACTGGTGGATAGTAAAGGCTGTCAGAAGCCGTGAATCTGCACTTTGCCCCAGCGACAAAATACTGTAATTTAAGTTATACGTTATAAATTAATTTCTTCATACGCTCGTTCCTTTAATGATTATGCCAGTTGGGCCTTTTTAATTTGGCACGAGTCCTGGTTCATTCGACAAATAAACAACCATCACTTAGCAACGTGTTTCAATTAAACGTCAATGTTTTCCCTGATTGAAGCTGCTTTAAAACCGCCCGCTGCCGCGCGCTGGGACAGGTGAACCGCTAATAAAGTTATAATTTCCTCAGACCGAACTGCCGCTCGGTGTTCTGGCTGTTCGCCGGGTGAACCGGATGCTCGACACTATTTATTCAAGGTCTGAAGAAGAGTTTTACCTCACGTGGATATTTGCCGAAAAGAAAGAAAACTTTAAAAACTGCACTGTTTCAAACGGAGTCTCGCCCTCGGAGACAAAACGTCGCCACATTCAAACACGGTTTTGTCCTCTGATGGAAAGCAGTAAACTGTGATTCACCTTTTAGTTGGAGCCATGACTCTGAATCATCTGCTGTAATGAGTCTGTTCACTCACCTGTCCCACAGGTGCCCTCGAGACTCCGCAGTAAAAACACCACGATCCACAGAACCCGCTTCATCTTCTCATTATTTCTGTCCGTGCCCCCTTTAATCCGACACACGAAGCGGGTTAGCCTAGTTCAACTCGGCTCGGCTCGGCTCGGTCCCCTTCTCTCGTCACTGGAGCCTCATTTCCAGCCGGACAAACAGGATTTCCACCCGGGAGACGGCGGAGCGGAGCGGCGGAGAACACGGTAACTTCATAAAGGAGGAGCGGGAAAACAAACAAACACAAAAAAAAACGGGCTGATAAACGGAGTTTGTGTCGGTCAGAAAGTTTAGAGCAGCTCGTTCTCACACTGAAACTTCACACACGTTAAACACGATCTGACCGGAAAGGACACCTCATCACCTTCAAAATAAAACATAAAGAATTTTAAATTTTACGTTTATGTTGCATTTCACGTTTTATAATGTTTATTATATATTTTCTACTTTATAGTTGCACGTGTTTCTTTAGTTTTACTGTTACACTTTAATCATTATTATGCGTTGTTTGTTCCTGTCCAACACTGAGTTAACCATGAATTATTGGGTGCTACACAAATAAAATATGACTGAATGTCATAGGACTGAATATTTGGCTTTAATAAAGTTGGAAGAAATGTTTAAAACTGTCAGTATAACAGATTTCAAAGAGTATTCTTCTTATTTTATTATTTTAACTTAGCTTTAGCTTATTTTATTTTTCAACATGAATACGTTTTACTCAATTTTACTTTATTTTGCTTTTTTTTTTATTTGATTTGACTTTTTGTTTTATTTATCTTTTTTTATCTATTACCGTAGTTCATCTTTGTTATTCAATGAAAACATGTAACCGGAAGTGCGGTTGATATTCAGTCTAGCTTCACAGTGGTTGATCTCTCCCGGTGGAATGTGGAGGAGGGGGAGAAGTAGGGGGAGGGGAGAGGGGGGGGGCTAGTTCGTTTAGTAAGGACTAATTTGTTTGAGTTGAAGACTTTGGACATGTTGGATGATCAGGGCCAGGTTTAGGTTGAGGGTGAGTTAATGAGAGAGAGAGAGAGAGAGAGAGAGGGAGAGAGAGGGAGAGAGAAAGGGAGAGAGAGAAGTGTGTGTGTGAAGAAGATGATGACAGGGAACGCGCATGACCGCCACCTGGCGGTGTGACATCAGAGCCCAGGTACAGTGATGGTCAGTACAACCTGGTCCATGTTGTTTCTAGAAGCATCATGATGGTGGAGGAACCAAACTCCACAGGATTTAATCAGGTTTTTACAGTTTTCATTGTTGCGTCTGGTTCAGTGAAAATAAAACACACACATTCATTCAACAGTTGTGATGTCATCCTCCTCCTCTTCCTCCTCTGATATCTTCATCGCTTCTGACTCAGACTCTGGTTTTCTGGATCTGATTTCTTGTCATGTCAGGTCCATATGTTGATCTCATACAGAAACCACAGAACCAGCTGTGGCACCGACAGGAACCATGACTGGTTTATTTCATCCTCCAGCTGCAGGTAAATCACACATCAACTGTTCAGGGGAGAAAACCAAGTTCTGCTTTGGGAAACACACAGAAGCCAAGGAGGTTCAAAGATGGATCATCATCAGCACCAGAGTCCAGACTGACGTTATCTCAACATCTGGATCGGTATATCAGCTGATGAAAGATGAGAAAACAGAGTCACTGTAGTTTGTGTAAATGTTCTTGGTGTGTAAAGACAATGCGCTGACATGTTGTTTTCGGATGTTAAACGACCTGCAGCTCGTTAACACAGACGAGACGAATCACAACAGATTTAAACATGCAGAGAGTTTAATGACAGGATGAGTTCAGACACGACAGATAAGACTAGTCTCATCAGACCGGTCTGGATCAGTCTGGTCTCTGATGAAGATAAAAGCTCACAGGAGAAGGAGAAACGAACATTAGTTAAATAAACAAAAACAGCAAAAGAAAAACTATGTTCAGAGAAGAGTGTCTTTAATGTTTCCCACTGATCAGGATTCACCTTCATCTTCACCTTCACCTTCATCTTTGTCTTCACATTCATGTTTGTCCAAATAAGCCCGAGACTCTACTGGAGATTCTACTAGAGATCCAACGATGAGTCGACCCACAGACAATTAATCAACTATTGATCGACTGAGTAAAACACTCCTTTGTTCCAGTTCCTCAAACAGGAGAATTTTGTTTTATATGTGACAGTAAATTAAATGTCTTAAGGTTTTTAAACTGTTACACAAAACAAACTTTCACTAATTAATATTTTATTATTGATTAATGGGTTAATTGTTTGGTTTATAAAACATCAAGAAACAGTGAAAAATGGCCCGACATAGTTTCCTGAAGGTTTAGAAGACGTCATCAAATCCAAGGAAATTCAGTCCATGATCAAAGCAGAAAAATCCTCACATCAATCAATCAATCAGTCAATCAATCAATCAATCAATCAATCAATCAATCAATCAATCAATCAATCAGGAAATACAGAATCAGGTGAATCTGATTGGCTGCAGCCCCGGTCAACATAAAGAAAAGGAGACGTCGTGTCCTCTGGATCAAACCTTAAAGTTTAAGAGACAAACAGGTGAGTAAACAGGTGAGTGAACAGGTGAGTGAACAGGTGAGTGAACAGGTGAGTGAACAGGTGAGTGAACAGCGTCGTCCCTGAGTCTCTACTGTTAAACATCAGCTACACTTTGTCTTCTTCTCTTGTGTTAAATGTTAAAATCCTCTGTTTGTCCAGGTGAGCCTCTCGTTACCTGGTTGTCCAGGTGAGCCTCTAGTTACCTGTGTTCTGTTAAATGTCCTCAGACCTGCAGCAGCAGCAGGTCTCACTAGTGGTCCAGCAGATGGGGGGCGCTGTGAGTAGTACTGAGCTGTGACATCCGGTTTTTAGCAGAAGAAGAAGCAGCTGTGGGGGCGGGGGGGTTGGGCGGAGTCTGGGCTGACCACATCTCCGACTGACTCGTCACAGAGGGTCATCAGGTAAACTTCTTCTTAGTGGCTGTGAATCGCTCCATGTACTAAGGAGGGAAAACAACAGAGACCATTAGAGACCAGTAGAGACCAGTAGAGATCATCAGTGAAAATCAGAGACCATTAGAGACCAGCTGAGGTGTCTGTCTTTTGTTCTTCAGACAAGTTTCTAACAGGTGCTCTCACCTTGTCGTATCCTTCCAGGTCTCGGAGCTTCTTCACCTCGAACAGGTTTCCCTCCACAGAGAACAGAGACACCTGGGAGTCGGAGAGGATGGACAGAGGGATGGATGACAGCTCCAGACAGTTCTCCTCCAGACGAAGGACCTTCAGACGAGGACACCGGGACACCTCCGCCGACAGCACCGAGATCTGCAGGGAGAACAGGAAGACTGCTGAAACCTGCTGTTGGTTGTTGTGTGGCAGGTCTCTGATAAGGGCAGGGAGACCTGGTTCTGAAGTACCTGGTTCTGGTTGAGGTTGATCTCGATAGCCTGCAGCTCAGACACATGCTCAGGGACGTTCTGGATCTGGTTTCGGGACAGGTCCAGCAGATCCAGTTGCCTCAGGGTCGCCAGTCCGGGGGGGAACTCTGAGATCTGGTTCCCGGCCAGACTGAGGGTCCGCAGGGCTTTGAGCTGGCCCAGACCGGGGGGCAGCTGCTGGATCCGGTTCCCATTCAGACTCAGGGTCTCCAGCTTCTTCAGCTTCCCGATCTCACTGGGAACACTGGCTGAGGACAGAGAGGACAAGATCAGCACCAGACCAGGTTCTGTTCACACTCACAAATCTCAGTTATATATATATATTAATATAGTTAATATATAATATATTATTATATACTTACTATATATATGTGTGTATATATATATATATATATGTGTGTGTATATATATATACACACACACACACACACACACACCATATATACCACTTTGCACAGACAGAACAAGGAGACTTGGGGTCAACAGAGGGCCAATGGAAAGCCTCCCCTCTGGTCTCTGTCAGCCTCTCTGATGCTTCAGGTCTGTATGAGACCAGGAGTCAGGACTGAGACCAGGAGTCAGGACTGAGACCAGGAGCTGGTCGAGCTGGACTGAATCTACATCCCAGTTGCTCTGTGTTGTCCAGCAGCTTCACTCTGACTCTGCAGCGATGAAGATGAGGATGAGGATGAGCTCTGCCTGGTTCAGGTGTACTCTGTTGGACTGTGTGCAGTCACACTGAACATGAACCTGTGTGTTTGTCGCTAAGCTAAGCTAAGCTAAGCTAACTGATCTCTGAGTGTTGTGATACACAGTTGTTAAACCACTGTCACCTCTATCACCTGTGGTTGAACACTTGTCCTCAGGTCAGTCACTCACTCAGTTTGTTGCAGTTGAGCGTCAGACTCTTGAGCTGCAGGAAGTTTCCAATGGCGGCAGGAAGAACCTCGATCTTGTTCCCGGACAGGTCCACCGTCCTCAGGTTACTGGTGAGTCTCTGCAGCTCCTCTGGAAACTGGAGCAACGACACAAACAGCAGGAAACTTCAGCGACTGACCATGGCTCCAAGTGAAGGTCACTGATGAAGACTGTAAAACTCTTCATCATCACACAGACCTGAGTTATTGTTTCACTGGAGCCTAAAGTTGTGGAAATATCATTTACCTCTTTAAAGTATAAAACACAAGACCTAGACCTTTGTATTGTTATGAACCAAAACACCAAAGCAAATTCCTTGTATGTTGCAAACCTACTTGTTAATAAACCAAATTCTGATACTGAAGATCTGGTGAAGAATCCTCAACCTCATCTTTATCTCACGTCACTATTGTTAGGACACTGACAGATTCAAACATGACTGACAGTGAAGGAGTGGGCTGTGATGGGTTTTTCTCCTGTGATGAACACAGTGTATGGTCTCTCACATTTTCAAAACAAGAGAAAATTCAAAAGTAATAATTAAGTAAAGACCAGATACTGAAGTAAATGTACTCTCTTACTGTCCACCTCCACCTGTGTTCACCTGTTGAACACAACTTTTGTGTGTGGAGCAGTGACGTCAGTGCAAATCTCTTCAGTATGCGACTGTAAACAATGATAACACGTGAACAGGTGAGTCTCACCTCCTGCAGTCCTTTTCCTGTCAGCTGGAACACCCCGGTCTTCTGGGAAGTCTCCAGGTGAGACTTGAGCGCGCTGTTCCCCATGTGGACCTGCGGCCAGGTGCACCTCTACCTGTCAACCTGTCTGTTCGAGCCCGACTGGGTAATGAACTATGGCCCCTGAGGGTGAGATGCTCCTCCACCGTCTGCCTACAGCGGGAAGACTCCACCCGAGGTCATATCCAGACCGGATGTGGTCGGTATTAGTCCAAGTCCCGGGATCAGCTGACGGGTTTAAAGGAGCTCCTGTCGCTGTTAATGAGATGAGTCTGTGAATCTGCTAACAACTAGCTGCGTTAGCTCCTCAGACACCGACCAGCCCCGGCTGGGTCCAGCAGCGAGCGAGCAAACCAACACACTCGTCACAGTGCGGTTAACGTGACCGTGGCGAGTTCGGTCCAGTGTGAAGCTACGTTAGCATTGAGGTTAGCATGAAGGTTAGCCTGCTAGCCGCAACAAAAACAACTCAACACACCGGAAACAGTTGTACTTACATCAAAGCAATCGGCGCAGTGTCGTCACGCACAGTGTGTAGTTTGTCGCATAGTGTGTAGTTTGTAGTTTGTAGTTTTTAGTTAGAGCAGCAAAGTGAGGGTGGAGACGCCCTGAGAAGGACTGAACGGCTCCACTGTGTGAGCCAATGGGAACACCGGATATATATACGTCACGTCCTTTTTCTCCCTATTTTGTTCTATTTTTGCTTCTAGGTGCATTACCGCCACCTTCTGGACGAGTGTACGCTACGGGACTTTGTGTTGGGATCAAACAACTACAGGTGTAGTTCTCCTTCTGTCCTGAGGGGGCGCTAATGGAAGCGAGGAGAGTTCAAGCTGCCGAATCAATCAGACGAAGAAGAAGAGGCGGAACCAAATCATCTGGCGGGCTCCGATCAGCTGGAGCCGTTTTATGGATTTTAGGGACGATTCTTCGGTTTGAACAGTAAGAAACAAACACGGAGGATTAACGGTTCACAACTACACTATGTCTCGTATATATAGTTTGTCTCTGTGTTTCAGTCTCTGTAGTTTGTCTCTCTTTAGTTTCTCTCTCTCTGTGTTTCAGATGCATCAGTGGGATGTGTCCCTGTTCTCAGTGACTCCAGCTGCTGCCCTGTTGTCCAGATGTGTCTCCAGAGGAGCTGTGTCTCAGGTGAGGTCATCATGTCAGCTGTTTTTATCTGCAGACGGGGTAATAATGAACCAATCATAATTAAATTTGTTTAAATCTACTTAAATGTATGAGGAGCTGAGATGTGTGTGGGGGTTTTTCACCTGGGAAACCTCATGTTTTGTCTCTACCTGTCCTCAGGAGGAAATAGACTCCGCCTCCTCCAGGCAGAGCCCCATCTTCTCCTCTCACCTGCATGAGGCTGTACAGCGAATCAGAATGCAGAGACAATTGGACGAGGTACACATAAGTCTGATGTCACGTCCTGGAAAAGTCTGGAAGGAATCCTTTTCCTGGCTTTGAAATCATAACTAAATCAAAACTAAAGTAGAATCTGATTGGTCAGGATTGTTTACTGTTTGAGCTGGACTCATCCTGATCAGACGGTCTGAATTGATCGTGATCAGATGGACTGAAGTGACTCTGATTATCAGTTTGTCTCAGTAAAATCTCGTCTCATGTTTCATGTCGACTGTTGCAGGTGCAGCTGGAGGTGGAGCTGCTGAAGGAGGAGAAGAAGAGCGCCGACGTCACGCACACATTTCACCTCAGTGAGTGTTTTATAGGAAAAAATAAACACAGTCCACAGCTGCTTCTTATTGAAGGTTTAGAACTCAAATTAGAACTAAATGATTCATAAACCATTAATGAAGTTATTAACACCCCCCACCCCCATCCCCCCAGCTCGGAGGTTCCACATGTTGCAGATGTTCTGTGGTCACCTGCAGGAGCTCTTGAAGGATCAGAACAGTCTGAGACAGAGACTGATGAGACCTCTGGGTCGCACCAACCTGCCCGTCCAGGCTCACCTGCATAGGTAAAATTTGTCTCCTTAGCAACCGCTGTCTCACATCCACTGTGATGATAATAATAATTGATTTCCAGATCCAGAGGGAGTTAGTTGATCTGTGTCAGCAGGGTCTCAGCCGGTCTGTGCTGTGTTTCAGGTCTGTGGTGGAAGTTGTGAAGATGCTGCTGGACTTCATAGAGACCCTGGAGGAGAAGCTGGACTCGGTGCACAGCTGCACCACCACCAGAGACCGGCTCACTCAGCTGGTCAGTCCCATGATGTCTGATGTTGACAGTTGGTCTCAGGACTGAGGAGGATGTTTTAACTTCATCATGAAAAAAACAGCTTCACACATTTTCTCTGCCTGTGTCTCCTGATCCTGATCCTGATCCTGATCCTGATCCTGATCCTGATCCTGATGCCTAACCTCAGAGTATCAGAGAGTGGTTCAGAGAATTGATCTGATATCTTAAACCTGGTAAACAAACTGTGTTTAATGAGGATGTCATTATGGCTGGCAGCTGATCGATGAGGTCAGAACCAACTGATCATGAATCAATCAGTCACAGACTGATGTGAAGCAACAGCACAGTGAAACTGATTTATTATTAAATCAGTTTATTTTCATATTTATTACTAAATCAGTTTATTGAAGAAGCTGCAGCCAAACAATATTTATTAATTGATTAATGAACTGACTAATAGGTGGAGCTCTGTAGCGGTCTGTTTTAAAATGGATCATATAAACCCTTATAGTTTAAAGGGGTCAGCTGAGTTCTACAGTCCGGGGTCTGGATCATCCCTGGACCACACACCGGTTCTGTCTCCTCTGTGGATCCACTGGGTTTCATCATGTGGCTCTGGTTCATTTACAAACTGTTGGTCAGTGTCACAGTGACTCTGAGCAGGTGCAGTATTTTTACCTGGATCATTTCCCTTTACCTCTGAAGCTCTCTCTCTTTCACTTTCTCTGTTTCAGAATACCTCTCTCGCCCAGCTGCTGGCGCAGGTGGCAGAGGTGCAGAGTTTATCCAATCAGGTTCTTCAGTGGAAGGAGGTTGTGAGCAGCCTGCAGAGTGACACATCTGCCTGATGACCTCTGACCCCTCACCTTCAGCCCCCTCCTCCTCCTCATGGACCGACCGGATGTTGTACAAACCGAAACCTGGATGTGGACTCTGCTCACAGACCTCCATCAGGTCTCACATTGAAAACTTGATGATGTTATTTTGTTTTTTGTAATAAATAAAATTTTTGTCGAAGCTTCTTGTCATCAGACATTTTAATAAACCCCAGGTCATAGGCAGAGTGAGGGGGGGCGGCTTGTGGGGCTCCAGTACCAGATGTTTTCCCAAAAGCCCCGAATCTTATATGAAGTTTATTATAACATTATTTAAATGTATAACTTCAACTTGGCGTCATTTCCTCTCCGTCTCTCTGACTGGACCGGCAAATCAATGGAGCTCTATTAGTACTGTACTGGGGAAATAGCCATTTATATTATTATTTATTTTTGGCGAGCCATGAGGGGAAATGAGTAAGAGAGCGCGGGGACAGGACAACCTGTGGACCAGGAGAGGAAGCAGGAATAGAAAGGAGTGAAAAGTTGAAGTTAAGAGAAGAAGAGAAGGAGAATGATATGTGATGAAGAACCAGGAGGAGAGGGTGAGAAGAAGACAGAAGAGGAAGTCTGGATTTGAAGAGTGAAGAAGAGAGTAGAAAGGGAGGAGTGAGAGAGAAAGGGAGGAAAAGAATGAAGGAGAGAAGGGGAGAGAAAGGGGGATGGGTATGGAGGTAGATTTTGTCTCAATATTATTTAAGTGAACTGATTGACAATCAGTGAGTAAACACCTTCCACAAATACAAAAAATACATTTGGAAGCTCAAAAAATATCATGCAAATATAAAACGGATCTACAAACAAATTTCACGAATAAAAACATCTGTGAATACATTCAATTAATTTACAAATAAATGAAAAGAATTAGTGAATATCTTCCTAACATTTACAACCTTCAAACAAACATTTTTGAATCAATTTTATTTTCTCTTCGCTTGTGGGTTTATGTTTTACAGAGTTTTGAGACAAACCTGCCGGTCTGAACGAAAATCGACATGTTTCGGAAAACAAGTGATCGCCAGCTGACGCCGCCATTTCCGCTTTTCAAAACAAGAGCACGCAGACTTCTCTGAGCTGTTTTATTTCCTCAAATAAGTAACGTGCACAACGTTAACGGTTGTTAGATATGAAGTGACAGAACCTGGTTAAGGTCTTTGATAGTTTGGCTTTTGGTGTTGATATTTGTTTTGTTAAGAAATTACATATTACAATTTTATTGTTCACTGTTAATATACAGGCTACGCTAACGTTAACTGCTAAACCGAAACCCGTTGCCAAGGTGACAGTAAACAGTCTTGTTGCAGACTGAGGGAATGAAAGCAGGGTTCTGACATCCCATACTGATGAAGAATGATTGTAAACAGACCACATTTTATACCCATAAACCTGTAAAGAGATACCTGCTGTCATTTCTTTACCGTTGAGTTTATTGTAATCATTCAGTCCATTTGCTGTTTACAGCATAATTGGTATTTTCTACATGTAGGCTACACTCAGTTATCTTCATTTGTCCTGTACAGTCACTGGAACAACCAACTCATCTCTTACAGGTGGTAGTAGTATGGAATATGTCATAATGCACTATATATAATAAATAAGTGAAAGAAAGGTTACAAGGTTCATGTATTTATCATTTGAAACAAGGCTGTATAACAAGATGAAACTCCACCACTAAGTTTTTATTTTTATTTTTATGACATCTTATTTATTCACTCATTTACAGTATATAATTTTGTTTTGTTGAGTGGAATAAAGGGAACGGCAACTAGCACATCTCTATATACAATGTTATAAATATCCAGTCAGAGATGACTTAAAATAAAGATAAATATTAACATAGATAATAACATTGTTAATGTTGAGACGTTAGACTCAGTGTTATATTTTAGAAAATATGTTTATTCAAAAAGAATCAATTAAACTCATCATGCAAACATACAGTATACAGAAAGAGGTCACTGTAAATGTGCATTTAATGACGTTTTACAATTTTGCTACCAGAACGAGTTATCATGCATGAATGTACATAGTACACATTACACCTCATCCTAGAGAAACTCCTCGGTGGTGTTTTTTTGTTTTTTTTACATTTTCTTATTTATTATTCTTATGTTGAAATTGTTTAATTCATTCATCAATGTACAATGCCAGTTAGCAGCTTGCTAATGTTAATGCTAATGAAGTCATGTTCAGACCCAGAAGTCCTACTTCCTTATTTCTACATTTATAATCAAAGACTGTTGCTATAGGTACAGCTTCTATATATCACCAGTCTATATATAAAGACAATCAGTCTATATATTATCAGTCTGTATACAGGGAACATAGAGAATCTGTGCAGCGGGTGGACGGAGATCTGCAGTGACAGCTCCGTCCTGCAGGTGGCGCTGCTGTGTTCTATCCGGGCATTAAACAGAAGAAGAAGAAGAGCTGCCTTGTGTTTCCGGTCTGGATTGGATGACGCTCCACTGAGAGTTTCTGCTGCGGTTTGATCAAAGTCACCGAGAGGAGGTAGAAACAGGTAAATTCACCTTTTATTGCTCCGCAGTTGAAGCCGTCAATGTTCCCGCCGCGGCCACTGACGCTGTTCTGTCTGTTCACCGCGGCTAACTGAGCTAATGGCTAACCTCCACTCCCTCAGCGCTGACTGCTAACGGCTAACTGCTAAGCTAACGTTAGCGCCGTAAACAGCTGACACGGTGTTGATTTAAAACTGATCAGCTGATAAAGGATTCATCGGTGTATTTATCGACCTGTGGATGTGATCAGAGGCGGGTTGAGGTTGAAACGATGGATCTGAATGTTTGTTGAGTTTTGTGGCTTTTAAGAAACAGATTGAACTGAACACGTTGAGTCTGAACTGAGAATGAAAACAATCCGGTTCAGCTCCCAGATAGAAACCGATTCAACGCCAGATGATCAGAGGGGTTATCGATCCGGTACTGGAGCACATTTAATCAGTACTCATTAGTATTATTGATTATTGAGTAAACTTTAAAGCTGTTTGGTATAAATCACCTGAAAACCACGAAGAGCTAAAAGCCTCTTCAACCTTCAGGTTATCTTCACCTCACACCTGTGCACAGACTCAGGTGTAAATCTTTATTTAGATGCTACAGGGAGCTGTCCTCTGGCTGGAGGGTTTTTCCAGGTGAAACACCTGCTGTCTGTGCTGAAGGTGGACGAACATCATGTGATGAACAGGACTGAGATGATTGATCAGTTTCTGATAAATTCTCTGTTGATTGTTATTGTCTCCCCTGAACAGGAAGTGTGTGGCCGTGTGCTGCTTCCTTCCTCAGCTGACCTGTGACTCACTGAGCGTGCTCAGTAGGAGGGTTTCCCTCCACACACAGTTTCTGTTGCAACACACACACAGTAAGTCTGCACCTTCATCGCTCACATTAACACGTCAGACAAAACAACATTACAGTGTTATTGATGCATTCACTTACCCAGTTCTGTGGTTCATTCTATTTCCTGTCAGCCCATGTGACTCTGAACCCACCAGGTCCTGATGCAATCTCAGGGTTTAGACCAGGTTTAGGTTTGGTGTCAGTGCGTGTGTGAATTATTCTTCTGTGCTCCTTTTAGACCGTCGTCATGGTGTTAGCCGACCTGGGGAGGAAGATCACCTCGGCGCTGAGGTCCCTCAGCAATGCCACCATCATCAATGAAGAGGTAACTGACACTGGAACCAGGTGAACGTGGCCTCAGACGCCCTGAGGTCCTGAGACCATGTTCACCAAACCGAAGACAGTTTAACATAAAGTCTGTGATTGAAACTTTTCTGTTGAATTCTTGTGGACCTGACTGTGTTTAACAGAGAAATACTTTAGTACCATTTAATTTTATTTCATAATGTTGCTTTATAATTATTAAATAATTAGTTAAAAATTGAACATATTTGCACCTTAAAGCCAAACTGTTGTTCACGCTGTGTGTAAAAACATACGTATGTATTATAGACATATATACCTGTATGTTTTTGTACCTTTGTGAGCTAAAGACGAGCTGTTTGTGTTTAGAGAGTGAAGGTAAAAGCTCTGAGGTCAGTGAACGTCTCAGAAGCAGCACCAGGTGCAGGTGAGATCTGGACTGTGATGGTCTCTTTGTGTTTCAGGTGTTGAATGCCATGTTAAAGGAGGTGTGTGCTGCTCTGCTGGAGGCCGACGTCAACATCAAACTGGTCAAACAGCTGAGAGAGAATGTCAAGTGAGTCCTGATCCAGGATCCAAACCAGAGTCCTGGTCTGAGATTCAAACATGGTTCAGTTCAGTTCAGCTGCAGTGACTGAGCTGAGTGCTTTTTGTCCCTGCAGGTCTGCCATAGATCTGGAAGAGATGGCCTCAGGTCTGAACAAGAGGAGGATGATCCAACACGCCGTCTTCAAGGAGCTCGTCAAGGTCAGATCATCAGGCCTGGAGAAGTCAGGGAATTAAATAATGAGAACAAAAAAGACATTTTAATTCTTTTAGCAATTAATAAAACTCTTGTTACATGTGAGTGTTTTACACTGTAGGTGATTACATCATGAAAACAGAGAGTTACCTCAGAAAATCAAGAAATTAAACTTTAAACAGTAGAAAAAACTCTCTTCTCAAAGCTGAGTCATTAGTAAAAAATAATTTTATAGTGTGTAATGTTTAGAAATGTGTGGACCCTGTGTGTACTGTGTGTATTTAGTATCTTGTTTGTGTGTTTGTGTAATCAGCTGGTGGACCCTGGTGTGAAGGCCTGGACTCCCACTAAAGGGAAGAACAACGTCATCATGTTTGTTGGTCTGCAGGGCAGCGGGAAAACAACAACCTGCTCCAAGGTAATGTGACACACCTGACTCCACCCCCCTGTTATTGGTTATATTTTGACGCAGAGCGCCCCCTGCTGTCTGTCTGTTCTCACTCCTCTGTGTTTGCTGCAGCTGGCGTATTACTACCAGAGGAAAGGCTGGAAGACGTGTCTGATCTGTGCTGATACCTTCAGAGCAGGTAAACACCACCTGATCACATGACTCTCTGACCACCTGATCACATGACTCTCTGACCACCTGATCACCTGACTGTGCTTCAGTGGACGTTCTTTCTTTCTTCTGCAGATTTTATTTACACTTTAAAATACTAATACTATAAGTCTATTTTTATCTTGCATCAATCTTTGAAATATTTAAACTGGTTTTTGACGTAGAGACATTGAACGCACCACTTGTCTGTTGTTGTCACTGAACTCAGACCTCTTCACACACAGTTTTCCTTCCACACTAAACCAGTCTCCACTCGTCATATTACTTTATCATATTAGTTCAGTTGTTTGGTCACTGAACCTGCTGACAGATGTTTCCTGTCAGGTGACATTTGAACTGCTCACGGCGCACACGCTTCAGCACTTCCTCTCAAACGCAGCGAGCACAAACATTTCCTTCAGTACATGATCCTCCTCTCTTCTTCAGGTGCCTTCGATCAGCTGAAACAAAATGCCACCAAAGCCAGAATCCCCTTCTACGGCAGGTGAGTCCCATCTCAGCTCACACAGAGCGCCCCCTGCTGTCTGCTGGATCTTAACCCTGCGTTGTGTTCAGTTACACAGAGATGGACCCGGTGGTGATCGCCTCCGAGGGCGTCGACAAGTTCAAAGGCGAGAACTTTGAGATCATCATCGTAGACACGAGTGGACGACACAAACAGGAAGACTCACTGTTCGAGGAAATGTTACAAGTCTCCAACGCTGTGGTGAGTAAATGAACGCACCAACGCAGGTCTGTAGTGACGTACCTGAACGCAGCGCCACAGGTCTGTAGTGAGACTATGCCAGTCTCAGGTGTGTTTCAGCTCCTACTGATGTTTCTCTGCGGATGTTTCCATAGCAACCAGACAACATTGTGTACGTGATGGACGCGTCGATTGGTCAGGCCTGCGAGTCTCAGGCTAAAGCCTTCAAAGACAAAGTGGACGTGGCGTCCGTGATTGTCACCAAATTGGACGGACACGCCAAAGGAGGAGGAGCTCTGAGCGCGTAAGACCATAATCCTCTGCTGCATGATGATGTCACAGTACTTTCTTAGGTAAGACTGTTTGTTTACATTCTTCTACGTGTGCTGTTTCCTGTCAGCGTGGCGGCCACCAGGAGTCCCATCATCTTCATCGGCACAGGGGAACACATCGACGACTTTGAGCCGTTTAAGACTCAGCCCTTCATCAGCAAGCTGCTCGGTAACCATCCTCACCTGAGCTCAGACGCATGACACCTGCTGGTCAGAGGTGGTAGCGACGGTACAGAGTCAGTCAGATACAGTCGGACACAGTCGTAAAGATACAGTCAGTCGGTGATGATGATAATGATGATGACAAACTACCAAACGTGGTCCCTGGAACTTTTTAGTCATCCAGATAAAGACCACATTGATCAGCCGTCGTCAGTCCTCTGCACAGAACAATAAATTAATCCTGTTTCTAAGAGTAAGCAACATGTTGTCTTGAGTGTTGCCATGGAAACCTTCAGTAACTCCTCCTCTTCCTGTCAGGGATGGGAGACATCGAAGGACTGATCGACAGAGTGAACGAGCTCAAACTGGACGATAACGAGGAGCTGATCGACAAACTCAAACACGGTGAGAAATGACACAAACTCACTTGGTCAAAGTGCAGTGCATTGTGGGTATGATGACTGACCTGTGACCCTCTGACCTCCAGGTCAGTTCACCCTCAGAGACATGTACGAGCAGTTTCAGAACATCATGAAGATGGGACCCTTTGGACAGATCATGGTAAACACCCACTGCATGCTAGCACCTGACACACACCTGACACACACCTGGCACACACCTGGCACACACCTGACCGAGTCATATGATTTAGACTCAAGTCACGGGCTCAAATTATATTTAACATAATGATTCTATTATTGTGTTCAGGGGATGATTCCTGGCTTCGGTACAGACTTCATGAGTAAAGGAAATGAACAGGAGTCGATGTCAAGACTGAAGAAACTGATGACCATCATGGACAGCATGAACGACCAGGGTAACACACACACACACACACACACACACACACACACACACACACACACACACACACACACACACACACACAGCATGTGTTGGTGGAAACTAAAGTAAGACTCAGAGTTTTCTGGACAGAAACCAGATCCACAAAGACAGACTGTGGTATGAGAAATAAAACGGATGTGACGATACCACAGCCTGACCCTCACTGGTTTTCCTGGTGTAGAGCTGGACAGTAAAGACGGGGCCAAGCTGTTCAGTAAGCAGCCCAACAGGATCCAGAGGGTGGCTCGGGGGTCAGGGGTCGCGACCAGAGACGTCCAGGAGCTGCTGACTCAGTACACCAAGTTCGCCCAGATGGTGAAGAAGATGGGGGGCATTAAGGGGCTGTTTAAAGGTAAGAAGGGGGGGGGGGCAGCAAGTTTTTAAAAGCAGAAGAAGAACGGAGCTGAACATGTCTCTTTTTTCAGGAGGAGACATGTCCAAGAACGTGAACCCGTCTCAGATGGCCAAACTGAACCAGCAGATGGCCAAGATGATGGACCCCAGAGTCCTGCACCACATGGGTGAGACACCTTCTAATCAAACACCAATAATCAATAGTCATCACTCAGCTGATCGGCCTTCAGAGAAAACTCCCATGATTCACTCTGTCTTCACTCTCTGTTCACATGGTTTCAACAGCTGATCCTAACGAGCCTGTGTGTTTGTTTTAAGGTGGAATGGCTGATCATGATGAGCCTGTATCAGTGTGTTTGTTTTAAGGTGGAATGGCTGATCATGATGAGCCTGCGTGGGTTTTTTTTAAGGTGGAATGGCTGATCTTAACGAGCCTGTGTCAGTGTGTTTGTTTTAAGGTGGAATGGCTGATCATGAGTGGGTGTTATTTTTTTTTTTTCAGGTGGAATGGCAGGACTTCAGTCCATGATGCGTCAGTTTCAGCAGGGAGCCGCTGGAAACATGAAAGGCATGATGGGATTCAACAACATGTGACCGCCAACCAATCAGCTGCCTTAACACATAAAAAAAAAAGTAAAAGCTCCACCTCCTGACAGGTACAGGTGGAGGGGGCGGGGCTTAGAGAGAGAGCACAGGAAGTGTAGAAAGACAAAATAAAAGGAGGACGTTTGTCCTCTGCTGCTTTTCACCAACAAAGATCTGAGCTTTTAGAAAAACACCAGAAGAAGAAAGGTGATGATTTAAAGGAGCAGTTCAACAGTTTCAGACGAGTTTGACCTCTGACCTGGTGAAACATCTGGAACATCTGGCTTCCAACAGAACTGTTGGACTGCTCCTTTAAACAGGGAGGAAGAGGAGGAAGATGTTTAAACAGGGAGGAGGAGGAAGATGTTTGTTGGGCCTTGTTAATTTAATTCTGTATAAGATGTTTATGTATAAGATTTAAACAGCAGAGTCAGTCCTGATTGGACGAGATGATGATGATGATGATGATGATGATGATGATGACATTAGTTAGTGACAGTATTTTTGTCATATAATAAACATTTGTATTGCACCATTTTAAACCTGCTGAGTCTTTATTTCACTGTTTGTTATCATGTTGATGAAACAGATCAGACAGTAATTTATAGATTTATGATTGTAGACCGACCCCCCCACCCCGACGATTATTGGTCAATATTAAGAAGACATCAAGAAGCTTTATAGAACTTCAGATTAGTTTGGTCCAAAGCTGATCTGCAGGCTGACGTGTGAATTTTCACCTTTGAGCCTTAATTACAGCACTTACACGTTATTTACGATCATATTTTTCTATTTATAATAATAATAAACATAAAAACATTGATTAAAAGTTCCATCAGGACTCTGAGGGTTTTAAATCGGGGTCACTGAAGTAATCACAGCTGATCCCGAGGGAACGTGAACGTGTGACGTCATTGTGGTTTACCCTGATCAGTTCAGACTGTGACTTCGAGAAGTTTCTGTCATGAATCTTTACCTCTGAAAAATGTAAGATATTTTCTTCGGACTCCGGGTGAGGCTCCTACAAAGATCTTCTATTGGTACGATGACTCACTCGGACGTAAACAGTGACCTCTGCCTCTGGTTGTATTGTTCTTACAGTTTTTCAGACTTATTTGTGTGTATTGTGTAGTGTTGTGACTTTCTTTGTTTTATCATCTCTTCGCATCATATTCAGATTTCTTCTCACTGAGCCTCGTTATATTCAGCTTTTTTCTCTGTGACACTCTGTAACTCCCTCCCTGAGGTTGTGTCTGTGACTCATGGGAGCTGTAGTTGTTTAATGCTAACTAGATGAACTTAGTTACACCCGTCTGTACCTGTAACATGAGATGCTGTGTCAGTATTTTGGCTGCCGCTCGGTCAGGAGTGTGGTTCCTGAATATGGGTCAGAGTGAGCCTCTGTGTTTTTGAGCTCTCTGATTCCTGACGTGGCGACGGGCCGCCGCCATGTTGTTTTGCTTCGTTGTCAGTGCAGAGCAGCGGAGGCAGCGGAGCGGCGGTAAGTCCCTGATCTACCTTCATACACACTCTCACCTGGGCCTGACAGACCTCCAGCCTCACCTGGACTCCGTCAGCTCACCGGTCTGTTGTGTCCTGCACGTGTCACCTGTGTGACGTTAATGACACTGCAGTTTACCTGCGGAGTTTAGCTGCTGTTAGCTGTGAGGCTAACTGAGTTGAGCCTGCAGCCTGAACTCTGGGAGAAAAACTCTCATGATAGTTTATATTTAAACTTAGGTTCAGGTGAGACACTGATACAGGTACCTGTACCCATCCTGTCGTTAAGGTACCTGGTGACGTCAGCAGCTGTTGTTCATTCAGACTGGACTTTAGATATCAGCTGATGAATGAACTGATGTCATTGATTATGCTCTGATTCATTATCAGCTCTGATTGATTACCTGTAGCTCTGGTACCTGAGCGCTTTGGTCTGCAGGTCTTTAGATCTGAATCCAGGAGGGTCGCTGCAGAACCGACTCAGGTCCAAGTTCTGGACCAGAAAGAGACAAACTGAAGCTGAGAAATATTTCAGTACAATGTTTTTATTTCACATCACGTGTGGCTGGTTTTTATTTCATCTGTGACGTAATTTCTGTCTGATTTTGTTTTACCTGTGACGTGCACTTGAACCTGCCGAACACCTGAAGCAGAAATTCATGTACAAACTAACCCCCCCCCCCTCGATCCCCCCCAGCTTTTACCTGACAGTGTGCCTGACCCCTCCCCGAGTCCCTGCGTTGCCATGGCGACCTTCCCAGAGTACATCGCTCAGAATGAGGAGCGTGACGGCGTGCGGTTCAGCTGGAACGTGTGGCCCTCCAGCCGGTTGGAGGCGACCCGGATGGTGGTCCCGGTGGCAGCTCTGTTCACCCTGCTGAAGGAGAGACCGGACCTGCCCCCGATCCAGTACGAACCGGTTCTCTGCAGCCGCGCCACCTGCCGAGCCGTGCTCAACCCCCTCTGGTATGCATCACTGCACACATGTGTGAGGTCATCGACAGAGGTCAGAGGTCACAGACAAGGGCCAGAGGTTACAGATGGGGTCAGAGGTCACTGCATATCACAGATTAGTGTAGCTCTGTAGAGTCTACTGCCTGTCTACCACCTACCACCTGTCTATCACCTGTCTGACACCTACCTGTCTCTGTGTGTTTCAGCCAGGTGGACTACAGAGCCAAGCTGTGGGCCTGTAACTTCTGCTACCAGAGGAACCAGGTACAGTTGACAGGTTTACCTGTAAACCACAGGCAGATGAAGAACCTTCAGTTTAACTGTCACGTCCTTGTTCTTGTTGTATTGTGACTTTATTTTTGTTTGTTTGTTGTGCTTCAGTTTCCTCCGTCCTACGCTGGGATCTCTGAGGTGAACCAACCAGCTGAGCTGCTGCCTCAGTTCTCCACCATCGAGTACGTGGTCCAGGTAAGACTCACAGACAGGTGCAGACAGGGACCACAGACAGACTCATCCTCAGACGTGTAACCCGGTCTGGTCTCTGTCCTCAGCGAGGTCCTCAGATGCCGCTGGTCTTCCTGTATGTGGTGGACACCTGTATGGAGGACGAGGACCTGCAGGCTCTGAAGGAGTCTCTGCAGATGTCCCTGTCTCTGCTGCCTCCCACCGCGCTCGTCGGACTCATCACCTTCGGACGCATGGTCCAGGTCCACGAGCTGGGCTGTGAGGGAATCTCCAAGAGTTATGTCTTCAGGGGGACCAAGGACCTGAACGCCAAGCAGCTGCAGGTAGATAACAGGACTAACTAACTGGTCAAGATCACAACTAGGTCGTACGATGTGTTGTTTCACCTGCACAACTGAGTGAGGTGGCTGTGATGTCACAGTGTTTCAGAAATGTACAGGTGTGGGAGGGGCTCTGAAGCTAACACTGTAACTAAACTGCTGGTAGTTAACGGCACTAACTAACACTGTAACTAAACTGCTGGTAGTTAACGCTGCTAACCAGTTGTCAATCTCTGGTGACTTGCAGGAGATGCTTGGTCTAACCAAACCTTCAGCCACCCAGGGACGAGGACCTCAAACAGCCCAACAGCCTCTGTCCAACAGGTACACACACACACACACACACACACACACCCACACACACACACACCAGAACCTGAACCTGGTCGTGAGTTGTGGACTGAGGTGTCAGTGTTCTGGTTCTGCTCCGGTCCAGGTTCCTGCAGCCGGTGCAGAAGATCGACATGAACCTGACTGACCTGCTGGGGGAGCTGCAGCGCGACCCCTGGCCCGTCACTCAGGGGAAGAGACCTCTGCGCTCGCTGGGCGTCGCCATGTCCATCGCTGTGGGCCTGCTGGAGGTGAGGGGGTGGGGCTTTTGGGTGGCGGTGTTAGAGGTCGTGGTTTCAGCATCATGTGGCGTCATTACAGAGTCTCATCAGTGTGTTTTTTTTTTTGTTTCTTTTTTACCCACAGTGCACCTTCCCCAACACTGGCGCTCGGATCATGACGTTCATCGGCGGCCCAGCGACGCAGGGTCCCGGCATGGTGGTGGGAGACGAACTGAAGACCCCCATCAGGTCCTGGCACGACATCGAGAAGGACAACGCCAAGTTCATGAAGAAAGCCACCAAGGTGAGCGAGAGCTGACACTGAGGAGCTGATTCTAGTTCATGTTTGTTTTGGAAAGTACAATATGAATAAAACCGTGTGTGTGTGTGTGTGTGTGTGTGTGTGCGTGTGTGTGTGTGTGTGTGTGTGTGTTGCAGCACTATGAGTCTCTGGCTAACAGAGCGTCCACTAATGGTCACATCATCGACATCTACGCCTGTGCTCTGGATCAGACCGGCCTGCTGGAGATGAAGTGCTGTGCCAACTACACCGGGTACACACACACACACACACACACACACACACACACACACACACACACACACACACACACACACACACACACAGGTGTTGCACATCAGTATTCTTTGTGGTGACAGAAGCTGTGGACGTTATAGAGAGATTTCATGTGATGTTAATGTGTGTGTGTGTGTGTGTGTGTGTGTGTGTGTGTGTGTGTGTGTGTGTGTGTGTGTGTGTGTGTGTGTAGAGGCTACATGGTGATGGCCGACTCCTTCAACACGTCTCTGTTTAAACAAACCTTCCAGAGAGTTTTCACTAAAGATGTCCAGGGTTCTTTTAAGATGGCCTTCGCCGCCACGCTGGAGGTCAAGGTATGAACGCCGACTAACTGAGAACACGGAGGCCACGCCCCCGGGTCACCTGTGCCACAGGTGAATAAACTGCTGCGTTCTCTGTTTCAGACGTCCAGAGAAATCAAAGTGTCGGGAGCGATCGGACCCTGTGTGTCTCTGAACGCTAAAGGACCCTGTGTCTCTGAGAACGTATGTAACCACCAGCACACAGATGACCTTTGACCTTTGACACTTTAGTTTCCAGGACAGGTTCACAGGTGTGCTACAACATGTGTGTTACAGGAGATTGGCACCGGAGGCACGAGTCAGTGGAAGGTGTGTGGTTCGGATCCCAGCACCACGCTGGCTCTTTACTTCGAGGTCGTCAACCAGGTAGGAACACCTGACCTCTGACCTTTAGACAGTGTCAGCAGCTGCTGTGAGATCAGTCTGAGTCTGACTCAGTGACTCATGATACTGAAAACTGCTGGTTAATAAAGTCACAGCATGAACAAACCTCACACATCAACAGACAAAGCTTTTTAATATTCATCCAAACCAGTGATGATGTCACAGTACAGGATGATGTCATTGTACAGGATGATGTCACAGAACAGAATGTATTCTAATTAGTACATTTTAATCCTGGTGGTTAACAGGCGCCGACTGTCGGTCAGATAATAAACTCGTCCCTCTCCAGTGTGACCATCAGAAAAGCAGCAGTTCTGAATGTACTACACTACATTTCCCAGAATTCAGTCTGACTGTCACAGGTCGCCCTGGTGGTGTCACGTCCCTGCAGACTCCCCAGGTGTTTATGATGAAGAGGCTGTGTAGGTCATGGTGGTGTCGGCGTGGGCGTTTTTGGTGACGACGGGGGAAGC